GTGAATGTGTGTATGTGTGCGTACATACCGTAAACGATGACCAAATTAAATAATGACATCAAAAGTAGCATATGATAATGAGATTTATCATTGCATTCTTTGTAGAGTTGCAATACTACAAACATTTCATTTTAATAGTACAGCAAAACAATTGATATCCATGAGGTATCGTACATACGCCAGAATGCAGCAGGGGCACACTGTTGGAGCAGAGAATGAAACTAGCATCTATTTTACAGCAATTTATATACTACTGCGTAAGAAGGGTAGTGACGTCATGCGGAAAGGATCCAACGATCTTCTTCCTTGGTGTAGCATCTTCTGATTATATCAAAGCTGAGCTAGATTGTCGAAGCAGTTAACAAAATTCCTGATACTCTTTTGAACATTTAATTCATAAAAAATCTAACGGCTAACCTATAAGTAGCCTTCCATATCAACAGGATAACCTACAAAAAAAGTTGGCGTATGTTGTGTTCTGGAACCTGGGATTTCCCGAAATTCAAATTCAGATGAGCATGCATAGTTTTCCTGAGTACGGATGGAGGTGTGACCATACCCAGCAATAGTCCCCGCTGAGCCCCCTACTCCCTGACACCCACACGCACACACATATACACATATACATGTGTGTATGTGTATATATATATATGTGTGTGTGTGTGTGTGTGTGTGTGTGTGTGTGTGTGTGTTGTGTGTGTGTGTGTGTGTGTGTGTGTGTGTGTGTGTGTGTGTGTGTGTGTGTGTGTGTGTGTGTGTGTGTGTGGTGATAATTACTGTACACACACACAGCCCAACACAAACACACACACACACACACACCAAAGTCCAATCTCAGCCCAAGAGGGACAAGAAAAAAACGAAGACTTTCAGCGAGGAGTTCTATGGGGATCTCAGGGCCTTTTTGTGTCACAGAGCACAAAGTGTCCATCACCCGCTGCTCCAGGATTAATAAAGGTACAGAATGTGGCCCCCTAGACGGGAATTGTTCCAAATTCTTCAGCACAAAAAGCCATTATATTCGGTTGATAAATATTTTCATCATTCATATTATTAGTTATGGTGCAGCTATAAGTAACTAATCAATTGATATTGCAAGGCGGTCTGGGATGTTGCATCTCATCCACCGCCCTTCGCTCTGGCCTCCCCTGCCGGAGGACTGGGCGCTGCCTGTCGCTTGTCTTGTGTTGCTTCTTTTTTGTATGATTTTCTCGTTTTTAGTTCATTTTATTATTTTACCACATTTTCCCTATTTATATGTTTTCCCTTGTTATTTATAAATTAAAAGCGACACATTTTGATCAACTTACAGCAATTAGCTTTTATTCACTCTAGAATTTGAAACATTTCGTAAACTTTTAAGGTTTCGATTTTACTTTGATTTCATTTTGAGCTTTAGAGGAAATATTTTACGTGTTTTGTTATTTTTTTCCTTTTTCTTTTTTTTTTAAGCATTTTCTTATGTATTTCCTTTTTATACTTTTCATAACAGTTTTGTCCATTTTCGTTTGTGTTCTATAAGCTTATAAACTTAAGGAAAATATTTATCAAAAATGTTTGCCTCAGACATCACCGAGGCAATGACTGCGTTTCGCCTCAACCTCCTGTGGGATGAGTAACGGCAGTGTTGCCATATTGAAATGAAGAGACGAAGGGAACAACGAGAGTCGATCACGGAAGATGATAAACTAAGTACTGACGTGCCTGACATTCTTTGCGTAGGAGCTAGGCGTGAACCTGGAATATATATATATATATATATATATATATATATATATATATATATATATAATATATATATAATATATATATATAATATATATATATATTATAATATATATATATATATATATTATATATATATTAATTATATATTATATTATATATATTATATATATATATATATATATTTAATGTGTGACTTTTATTCATATATAATGTACTTGGCTTGACTTTTCCTTTTTCAGTTTAACCTTTAATAATCTTTCATAGTATGAAGTCTGAGTGATTCTTTTTTTTTAACCCGACCCAGGTTTTCATGGGGTCGTATTTAACCTTTTTCTTTGTTTTATAGCCATTCTCTCCATTTTGGAAGTATTTTCTCTTATTTTTTATGCTGCAGTTTTAGCTATTTAATATGCCTTCAGCACATTCTCTTAAATTTTGTATTTTCAGATTTTTCTTGTAATATTAGTATTTTAATCAGTGGTTAGCTTGAACATCGGAAAGAGATCATCACGCTGGAACACCACCCATATAAAGGATCCAGCGTTGCATCATACTCCCACCGAAGACTATGTAAGAAAGATAGGAAAGCACGTTTTAAGGGGACCGTCTGTTTTGTTTTGTTTTTCTTTCTTTTTTTCGACCGATTTTGATGAATTAAATAATTATTCCATTCTTTAATAACTTTTTTGTTAGAGATTTCTTTACATACATTAAAATAAGGTTTTGCACTATCATTTTCAGAATATGACAATAAAATATTTATCAATAATTATCTCATGTGTATGCATATTTACATGACAAAATTTTTCCATTTAAATACTATACAATTTTATTGCAGAAAATATCTTTGGTGTTAATACTGAACGTAAATTAAATGAATTTTTTTATCAAATAAACAAATCTATTAAATAAATTCTTCCTGTTTTTCATTCATTTTTGTTGTCATTAAATCAAAGATATACAAGACACATTTAAGTAAAACACAAATTTGATTTCATCATCAATCAAAGTATTAAAGAAAACAGACCTACAGTTAAAACAGGAAGCTTAAAACCTGCAAAAACTATTAGAAAAAGACCAACTCTTTCCTAGTATTTTGAGTAATTGACGTTTCACGATAGTAAATAAACAGACTATACAGCGCCATCTATTGTTCAGATATTACACTATCCGCCAACCTTTTAGGCTCACAAACTTTTGCCATGTTTTCCTATCTTTGTATATAGTGTTTGACTACCACTTAGGGCAATTTGAATTGACAAGGGTTAGTCGGATCCATTTGCGCCTGTATCCCTCGCCAGCATCAAGGGAAGGCAAAATTCCTTGTACAATGACTTGATTAACTGGGACGGAACCCCTGAGTTTGACAGAGATCACTTACAATATATCATCTACACTAATATAACCGCAGGCTTGATTTTACTCTATGTAAAAATCAAGTCATTTATCAACCATGTGTTAGAGTTGTAATAGCAACACTGCTAACAGCGGCAGCGGTGCATGGTTCCCACGCTGCCCATGGAAAGGGAGGCGTAGGCAGTCAGCCTCGGGCCGCCTTCGTAACAACAAATTATATTTATTTCCCAAATAATGCCAAGTTAGTAAGCCAGCCATTTGCCATACCCTCACCTGACGTCGCTCTAACACCATGATTATTGAGAAAGTTAGACAATGTGACAGTGCTAAAGATTGTATGAAGTAGCAAGCAGTTGCGACATGATTTTGATTACTTATGAACTGGGATTGCCTGGATGAGCCAACAACTACACATAGCTTGCTTGTTACTCCCACACTCCAACTTGAGTACTCTTCCGAGTCGTGTAGAAATCCTTTTTTACATGCTGAATTATATATTCTTTAGATAGTGTGGTGATCCAGTGGCCTATTCATCCTTGTCTGCTTTTGCGCATCTTTCATCTTTTAGATACATCGTCCGTCTAATCTCTGCATGGCAAGCAAGTAACGTAATTTTAGGTGTCAGAATACCCGTAAAAGAA